ACTGGACAATGTCCCCTCCCTTGAGCATCTTAAGTTCTAAGTGGAAAAGAGGGACAATAAATTGATAGTTCAAACAAATTATTTCAAATACTAATCAGTGCTGTGAAGCGGATAAACTGGGATAGTGTCCTAAGGAGTGGTTGGGGCTGTTTTGTGCACCCTGACAGGGAGACCCTCCGGAAGAAGTGATATATGAGTCGAGGTCAAAGTGATAGGGAGGAGGCAGCCAATCAGGAATCCACAGGAGGGGCCTGACAGTCACCACAGATGCACTGAAGGGACAGAAAGGGGGGAAACATGACCAGAAAGGATAGGTGGAGGGGACATGGAAGGAGGTGTAGTAGAGAGGTATTCAGGGGTCCATGTGAGCCTCCTCAGTTCTCAGACAGTGCGTATTTTTGTCCTGGTGATGGGCAGTTATTGGAGGAACATCCTCCTTTCAGTGGAGGAATATCATGGTTTGGATTGTGCTTTAGAAATGCGCTTGCTGCTATTGGGGGATGCCCAGGGAAGGGACAATAGTGTAGGCAGAAACCAGTAGAATAGGGCTTGGAGGTAAAGTGACTTCGCCAAGGTCACTTAGACACTGAAGATTGGAGTGAGGAGTGGATCCTGCCAGCTCATGCCCAAGGTCATACAGAAGGTCAGTGAGGAGGAGGCAGTGTACTGTACGTGGTCTTCTGTGTGTTAGGGCATTGCTTCTCCTAACTTATGGGAGAATACACACACCATGCCTCCTAGGGATCGGTGACAGTGGACTGCTCTGTTTCTATTAAAAGGCCAATAAGGGAGAGAACGTCTGTGTACTTTCCTTCCCTTTTTCTTGTTTGATTTTATTATGCTTAGTATTAAATGATTCCTCCATTTCTTTTTTTTTTTAATGTACCTTGACTAATGTTACTTCAGATCTATATACTGAATCACTTCTTCCTAATTACAGGCCTTTGGTGGTTATTTTAAACTATTTTTCACCATGTCAAACTTGTGTTTTGAAAACAATTCAGAGAAAAGGATTTTAGAGCTAACTATAATTTGAATTTAACTCCTTCAATAAATAAAAGTATCCTATGCAAAAAATAGGAAAAATCAATTTTAGTTTTTAAGCTTAATCTTACCAAAGTTTCTTAAGTAAAACCAAGATCTTTATAATGTCTTTAATTTTCTCATCAAAAATTAAAACATTTCAAACCTGAATATTTTTATTTATTTATTTTGTTTTTATTCTACTTTGTTATATGTGACAGTGGAATGCATTACAATTTTTATTACACATATAGAGCACAGTTTTTCATGTCTCTGGTTGTACACAAAGTATATTCAAACCAATTAACATCTTTATACATGTACTTTGGATTAATGTCCATCACATTCCACCATCATTTCTAACCCCATGCCCCCTCCCTCCCCTCCCACCCCTCTGCCCTATCTAGAGTTCTTCTGTTCTTCCCATGCTCCCCCTCCCTACTCCACTACAAATCAGCCTCCTTATATCAGAGAAAACATTTGGCATTTGTTTTTGGGGATTGGCTAACTTCACTTAGCATTGTCTTCTCCATCCATTTACCTGCAAATGCCACGATTTCATTCTCTTTTATTGCTGAGTAATATTTCATTGTATATGCCACATTTTTTTTTATCCATTCATCTATTGAAGGGCATCTTGTTTGGTTCCACAGTTTAGCTGTTGTGAATTGTGCTGAAATAAACATTGATGTGGCTGTGTCCCTGTAGTATGCTGTTTTTAAGTCCTTTGGGTTTAGACTGAGGAGAGGGATAGCTAGGTCAAATAGTGGTTCCACTCCTAATTTTTAAAGAAATCTCTATACTGCTTTCCATATTGGCTGCAGCAATTTACAGTCCCACCAGCAATGTATGAGTGTGCCTTTCCAACACTTATTGTTGTTTGTCTTCATAATAGCTGCCATTCTGACTGGAGTGAGATGAAATCTTAGAGTAGTTTTGATTTGCATTGTTTCTCTAATTGCTAGAGATGATGAACATTGTTTAATGTATTTGTTGATTGATTGTATATCCTCTTCTGGGAAGTGTCTGTTCAGGTCCTTGGCCCATTTATTGATTGGGTTGTTTTTTTGGTGTTTAACTTTTTGAATTCTTTATAAAGCCTAGAGATTAGTGCTCTATCTGATGTGTGAGGGGTAAAGATTTGCTCCCAAGATGTAGGCTCTCTTTTCATCCCCAGATTGTTTCTTTTGCTGCAAAGAAACTTTTTAGCTTGAGTGCATCCCATTTATTGATTCTTGATTTTAATTCTTGCGCCAAAGGAGTCTTATTAAGGAAGTTAGGGCCTAATCCCACTTGATGGAGATTAGGGCCTACTTTTTCTTCTATTAGACACAGGGTCTCTGAACAAACCTGAATATTTTTAAATGGATGAAACCACATAGAGTTATTAATCTCTAAGTAAAATAATTTTATTTAAGATGAGAGCATTTGTGGAATTATTTGAATTGTAATTTATAGCAATAACCCCTTGATCCTGGAATTAGGATAAAATACCTTTAGCAACTCTAGAGAGAATTTCAGGGAATCTTCAGTAAGGGACTAAACTATTCTGGGGAGCTTTTTTCTATATAGTTGGTTCTCTCATTCATTCTTTGCTGGCATTAATTTGTTACCAACTATGTATCAGGCACAGATGAAAAAAAAAATGGAGGTTCAAAAATGACTAAAAATAGCCTGTTCTCAAGCAGCTTATCAAGAAAGGTTAGCAGTCCATCAGCAACTGCAATTTAAGGTAACAAATAAAATGGCATTTACTGGCTCTGCTGGAGGTAAGCCCAGGAGCACCAGGCATAGGTATCTATCAGGCCCTGAAGTTTTCAGAGAAGGCTTCCTGGAGGAGCTGGCATTTGAACTGACAGGAGGATGGGCTCCTGTCAGTCAAACAGAGATGGGGTGAAAGAAGAGTCTGTCCCTCCTTTCTACCTTCACTGGCACTTGGGAGTTTTATGAGTATATTGCAGAGATGCTTCACCAAGGCACTGACCTAAGATTTCTGTGCTTGGTATTGGCCATTGGTAACTACAGAATTTTAGTTCTTTCTTTCTTTAATCTTTTTCTCCATTTCAGCAGCGTTACATGGTGCCTGGGGAAATTGCACTGATAATTTGCATTTTGTTGGAGTAGCACCCAACAGGAATATAGAACACTCCACAGACTTTTCTGATTCTCATCTTACACATCTTTCTTTAGTCCTTTAAACAGTTTGTTAAGGTTTAGAAAACCTTATGGAAAGTATCCCGGCAACTGAGTACACAATCTTTTTCTCAAATAGCCCATTTTGCTCTAATCCAATTAAAGTAGTGTCGGCAGGAGCAACAGGAAAAGCTCATGCTTGGTCTCTTTTCAAAAAAAGGAAGTTGATCACGTGGAAGCCAAGTTTTACCAAAATAGCTCACAATCAGGGGAACGTGTCAGGGCTGGGCCAGCATGGGTATTTTGGTTAATATGTATTTTGTAGATCCTGTTAATAAGTGAACTATTCATGACATTTATTTGGAGCATTTAGGGCTTGTATGTTCCTTCCTCCAGATAACTAAGCCTTTATTTAGTGAGTTACAGATCTTTAATCTCTTAGTGATTAAATGGCCTCTGTGATTTAAGGTAGCCAGTTCTCAAGCCACTTGACACATTCTTGAATGGAACATTTTCATGTCTGTGCCAGTATTTTACTATTGAGAAGATGGGTGTGATTGGTTTGCATCTGAAATAGATATTTTAATGTCATGTTTCTTTAAAAGATTCAATATGTAATAATACATGTTTACTATGCATTCGGTTTGGTACATGTTGAATAAATACTGGAATTTTTCCCAATAAAATTCTGAGTTTAGCACCTGCAGAATTCAGGGGGTCATACTAATTTGGAACAAAGTTAGCCATTCTGAAGAAGTTAGTTGCAATGATTTTGAGATTTGGGGAGAGGATCCTAGTTTGCTCTTTTGCGTATTCTCTTTAATAAATCTCCTTCCAGCTGCCTCCTTTGAGATTTGAGTTCTTGAAACCAATAGGTATATAGTATCTAACTAATAGCAGGATATAAAGAGTGATAAAATGAAATTATAAAAATCCCTTCTTGTCTTATGCTATTGGAGATACAAGGTGGTCCAGAGAACATGAGAGTCTAATTTGGGGGTTTTATTGACCAATAAAATGAACAGTGGAGGAACAGCACAGAGTTGCTACATAAAACATTAAAAAGAACTCCCTGCAGAGCAGACCCAGAAGATCCCACGTCATCAATCCCCTTCCCCTTCTCCATGGTGCCACTTTTGGTGTCGTATGAAAGAATTGAGAGGCTGCTTATTCTTGTCTTCCTCCTCAAAACTTTATCAAATGTTTTTAAGAGATTGAAGGGTGAGTTAATGTCCTCCTGCCTCACCTGGGTAGTTATGACTTGACACTGGTCATGTGCTGAGGAACATGTGGGCCACGATCCTGGGCACTCATCAACATGACTAGGCTTCCTGTCTGGCTCCAGCTGTTGCTGCCCGTCCCCTTTCAGTGTTGGGGATGGAGCCCAGGGCATTGCACGTGCCAGCCAAGTGTTCTCCCTCTGAGCTGCACCCCAGAGCCCTGCTGTCTTTCTCTTAATCACCTTTCTCTAGAGGTTTTGCTCCATCTGTGTGCGTTGAATGACAGATTACAAATTATATTGTTTTGCTCAAGGTGTACTTCAGTATTCTAAAGAGTGCCCCCAAAAGTCATTTTAAGTTTCTGGAGAACACTGAATAATAGAGTGATGTGGAGATTTTTCAGATCCTCGCATGGCAAATTCAAAGTTCTATGGATCAGTTTTAGAGAATGGGATCTCAATGGCTGCCAGATGGAAATGAATAGCATGGGTTTGTCCTTCTATTCCCTTATTCTTGGTCACCTTTTGAAACAACAGCAGGACGCCTGTATTAAAAATAAGGACAGAGACTGATGGTTGGATCACCATTTATTTTATTCTCTCTTGGTCTTCTTTGTGGAAATAGGCTGCCCAGCGGGCATCTTCGTCCTCACCCAAATTGAGTGAAACGTCGTGTTCTTTCTCTTCCCTGGAAAATACAATCAAGACGGCCAGCAGCGGTTCTTCCTCGGGATCTAAAGAAAGACAGTCCTGGCTGGACATCGTGAACAGCTCGCCTGCTGCTGGAGACGTGGGGCACGCACTCGCCTTTGCCGTGCAGGTCCATGCTCCCGCACCCTCAGAGGCTCCCAGTTGCAAGGCCCTGGACACCAGCCCCGAAAGTGGGTTTTTGAACTCTTTGTCTAGTGATGACACTTCTTCATTGAGTAGCAATCAGGATCACCTCACTGTCCCAGACAAGGCTCCTGGATCAAGGGTGATGGAGAAAGGTAAATAAGAAAGCATTTACAATTATTTAGAGAGTGTGTGTGTGTGTGTGTGTGTGTGTAACTCTAATGTGAATTTGTAGCAGATGAGTGTGAATTTGTCACTCATGAATGGTGATTTAAATTTACATGATCAAGTGGGGCCAAGCCTCATGCTGCTTGGGTAGTTTCCCTGTTTCACTAATGACCTGCTCTTAGTGTTATTAAACCAAGGCTTAAAATGGAGACATGGGGTCATAATATCTTTCCACCAGTTGAAGGAAAAGCTTGGCTCTAATTTTGGTTCCATTCTCTGGAGCTCGTGATAGTTCAGTGGGGAGGGGAAGAGAAATGGCCCATTGAGGAATGAAGGGTGAAGATCAGATGGTGGGATTGAAAGAGGAGACTCAGGCTGCCTCAGGCTCAGGACCTGTCATTGTGTGGACCAAGTATTGGGCTTACTTGTGTCTCCTTGGAACTGTAAATTAAGGTCAGTGGTACAAGTGAAAAAGAGGTACTAGGTTCAGCATAAGAATCTTCTTTTTGATTTCATGAGCTGTCTGTATAGAGCAGGCTCCTTGGAAGGTAATGCGTCCTTATCTTTGGAGGTATTTCTTTATTCTGAGAGAACTATTTTCATTGAATATTGATTACCGATTGCATATTGATAGCAATTTTTGTTCTTATGATATAATGAAGAGAGAATTTAGGTATCTTGATTTAAATGACCTCAAATTTGATGCTTAGAAAAATCCTTTCAGATAGAGGATTGGGATTGAAGAAAATAATAAAAAGTACTACATCTATTTTAGCTATTATTTTCCTGTTAAAAATTCTTACTTTAATCTATGAGTAGGACTAAAAGAGTTTCCGACACCTCCCCTCCACTCGCCCCCATATAATGAGCATAGTTTCCTAAGCACCATAGATACTAAAATTCCTTTTATAGTCTTTCCCAAGAGATAACCCTGCAGATGGAGAGTTTTCCTTTAGGATCCATAGCCTGAGAGTCATGGGAAGATGAATGCAGTTCTCGTCTCTGTCTAAATGCCATCCTGGGAATGCAAGTGCTATGGAGCTTGGTGGGGCATCAATAGCTCTTTTAATCTAAGAATGAGGAAACCTGGTGTTCTTTAGCTTTGAATTACATGCAGAGTGACCAACAAAATCTGGCTGCTTCTTGGAACAGCTTGAGGTGAGGGTGCTTCTCTCAATAGAGAGGAAGAGAATATGGAAGTATTTTCCCCTCACTGATTTGTTGGCGGTTACTTACTATGTGTTACAGAATTTTTGCTGATGATTTTCTCCTGCTGCTGAGGATTTGATCAAATTCCCAAAAGAACTGAACCACATAAAGTCATCTCTATGGAAACAGCAGCCCAGCCTTTGCTTGTATTTTTGATGACTTGCTGTTGAGTAATCAAATTGCATATTGTGTATTTTCTTAACGTGTTTGCATGTTGGAGAAGAAGGTAGCTTTTCATTCTTGTGACTTCTAAACAAATATTGGTTTTGAGTTGCCAATGGGAAAAAAAAAAAAAAACAACCAAAAAGCCCTGGAATTTCTGTGTCTGAAACACTGCTCTGGGTGTTTTTCTATCAGGAATTGGAGTTTCTACAAGGTCCAAGATAGAAGTTAAATTTTCAGATTAATTTTCAGATTCCCAGTCTCAAGATGTGTTTGCTGGAGAAAGAGGCTTTTATCCTCGAAAAGATGTTTAAAGGTTAATAACTGAGTCCTGAAACAAGCAGACAGCATGTATTATAGCCTTTCTTTTATTTAAACAATGAAAGAAATATTTTGCAGTTGGTATGCAATTAAAATTGTGCTTGCTAGAATTTGATACTGAATTTAAAACTCCTTGTAGACATTTCTCCCTGTAGTGAAAGCTATTAAAAAAGAGAGAGAGAGAGAGAGAGTGTTAATTGCATCATATTGCTTTTCTACTCTGCAGAGTTTCAGACTTTCAAGCTCTAGGGATTCATCATGGTCTTTCCACAAGTGTAGTGGGAAGAGAGGTGATGAGGTTAATGGAGTGCTTGTCGCATCTCAGCGTCACTCTGGGATCTGCCTTTCTTTTTCAAGTGATATTTTGGCCAGGGCCATGCCTGTGGTGGTGAATCACAGGGTGCATCACTGCATACATATGTACAACGTGGGCTACCTGTGGACGATGTGGACAAGGTCACTCTCACTCAGTGAGGAGGAACCATACCCCAGATGCTGAAAAACTGCAGGTTAACTGATAAGACTAAAGCCCAACTGGTGTAGATCCATTTCCAAGTGCAAGTACAGCCAGAACTGCGAGTCATGTCGATTACAAGCTGAATAGAAAGATTGTTAATGAAGAGACGAGCATTCTAGAGCATGCATGACATCTCTGAGCCAGATTTCAGGATCTGAAGAACATTAGAAAAAATTATGCACAGTCTGAGTGTGGACAGTACAGATGCTACATTATTTTAGCTGGCTATCTGGAATGTGGCTGTAGGAATTATGTGGTATGCCTCTTCAGGAAATGAAGAGATAACAAAAATAAGCCCCTGCTGAGCTCAACTGAAGTTAGCGTTATTATTATTATTTAGTACCTAATATGTACTTTGTGCTAAAGGGAATCCAAAGATGAGCAGGATACAGATTCTGTTCTAAAAGACTTCTAAAAGTCTAATGGAGCACTTGGGAGGAATCAGTCACATCTAACGCAAGAAATCAGAAATAAAATGGGTGCCACCAGGAAGCTACAAAGAGAACACCCCAGGTGGTCACACCTAAGGGGGAGGATCTGTGCATTTAGAGGGGAGACACAGGCAAAGGAGACTGAAAGGAAATCCTGGTGATGCTGAATGCTGAACCAGGCCTTAGTGAATTATGATATATAATTGATAACCATTTTTAATTATGGTAATCTAATCATATAAACAAAGCTATGATTTAGAAAAATTATCTTAGCTGTAGGATGTAGGGCAGAAGAGAATAAGAGGAGGCAGAGGTCAAGAGGAATTAGGAAGCTTCTGTGCCCTACCAGGGTGTAGACTGGTCATGGTCTCTGCCTACTTAGAACTTAATTTAGTCCCTAGAGTATTTCCTAGTATTCCTGAGTTTTGAAATGTAATTTGAGAACTGATCTTAAAATGGAAATGAATATTTAACACCGTGAAAATAATCTGGTCTGAATGGCCGTTGGCCTCAATAGCATGGGTCTCAGGCATGGAAGGTTTACCACTGATTTCACTGTTCCCATGTCAAGTGGCTGAAGATCCCCATGAGTGGTCACAAAAGAACTTGGTTAAGTCACCTATATTTTTGTGTCATCTAAACAGGTCATTTGAAGTCCGCAGACTTTTATCTTCATATCTTTTGTTGTCGTTCTTATATTCTACACCTTTTCCTGAGACAGGGAGTTATGGGACAGTGAAAGGTTATGGGAACTCAATGGAGCAAGGGTTTTGAAGCTGCTGACTAGTGAAATCTGGAGTTCAGGGGCATGCAGACTCAAATCACAGGTAGAAAGAAGTAGGAGGGGTCAAAGAACGGGAGGTCAGGACCAAAGGTGAAAGATAAATAAGTTCTGAAGAGAGAAAATGTGGTTAAGGTGAAAGAGGATGTTTGTACTCCGAAAGAAGTAAACTTAGAGTTGACATTTAGATGTAAACAGTTCTAGGAATGGAGAAAGGCGCATTAAAAATGATGTGCTCTGGTGCTGGGGTTGTGGTTCAGTGGTAGAATGCACGCCTTGCATGTGTGAGGCACTGGGTTCAGTCCTCAGCACCACATAAAAATAAATAAAGGTATTGTGTCCATCTACAACTTAAAAATATTTTAAAAAAATGATGTGCCCCGGTGTCAAGAGCACAAGACGTACCACTGCTTGTGGCCACAGGACCACAGAGCCTGGCCACAGGTTCCACAGGACCCAGAACGGCAGGTTCATTCCAGAGAGAGACCACGCCTGCCCTTACAAAACAAGGCTTGAAGCCCACCTTTCTCTTTCAGTGCTACCAGAATTGTGTTTCACCAATATTGTGTTTCAAGCAGTCACATTTGTGTAGAGTACAGGGAAAACACTGTCCTTTGACATACTCAATTATACCTCTTTAAACGACGGCTGTGCTGTGTTTTTGTTTTTAGACATTCTCTCACTTTTCTTTCTTGGGCTTTGCCTGCAGTGCAATATTGATATAAATGGTGATTATGGGCATTTTTGTGGTGTGCTTGATCTCAAAGGGGAAGTTTTTAGTGTTTCCCCACTACCAACAACTTAGAAATAAAGTATTTTATTTTCACCTCTACGGTATGATGAAGAAACTGGGGCTTACTGTAGTTAGGCAAATTGCTTAAAGTGGTCATGCAACGATGGGAGGGTGAAGGGTGTGTTCTGTTTGACTCTAGAGCCCGAGATTTTAATCACCCAAATATTCAAAATAAATAATCAGGCAGGATCCACGGTTAAGTTAAATAGGTGAATCAAGTCACATTTCACAGAATAATTTCCCTCTTCAGACAATCATTCTATAACACGTGTTTCTACAATTACTAGTGAAGCAGTGCAGGTCAGCCAGTGACAGGAACAGAAGCATTCGAGCACTACGTGACACTTCAGGGTCCGGGGACTTTGTCTATTCAAAAATACTTATCAAGTGCCTCTTCATGTCACGTACTGGCCCATGTTTCTGTTCTAAAAGACTTCTAAAGGTCTATTGGAAAAGAATGTACACTGGGAAAAAAGTGAACAGAAGGCAAAATAAATACCCTCATGGTGCCGAAGTTGAGGGGAGACTGGGAGGGAGATAATAGGAGACAGCAGGTCAGTGCTAATGTCTCCAGTGGTTGTAAGTGCCATGGCGAACAAGAGGATGGGTGTGGGTTTAGAGAGAGATGGAGCTGAGATCGGGGCATGAGGGAAGAGGTGCTATTTACATCCGTGGTCATGGGAAGTCTCTCTGATAAGTTGACATTTGAGCCAAAATCCATGGAGTGGAGAGGAGAGCCCAGTTGCTATCTTCCAGGTACAGTGTGCACCAAG